CATTGCTTAGGTGCTTGCTTGAGGCCATACAAGGATTTCAATAGTTTACACACCATTCCCTCCTGACCTTCTAGTACATACCCGTCTGGTTGATCCATATAGATCTCCTCCTCCAGCTCTCCATTTAGGAAAGCTGTCTTAACGTCCATCTGATGGACGAGAAGACCATGAGAGGCTGCCAGAGCAAGTAGTACTCGAATCGTAGTCAAGCGAGCAACTGGTGAATATGTGTCGAAGAAATCCTCGCCTTCCTTTTGGGTATAACCCTTGGCCACAAGCCTTGCCTTATACTTTTCGATTGTACCATCAGGCCTAAGCTTTTTCTTGAAAACCCATTTGCATCCTACGGGCTTACATCCATATGGACGCTCAACGACTTCCCAAGTACCATTAGACATAATCGAGTCCATTTCACTGCGTACTGCTTCCTTCCAGTAGTCAGCGTCAGGAGATAAATATGCCTCTTCTATGGTTCTTGGGGTGTCATCCACGAGGTATACAATGTAGTCATCTCCAAAGGATTTTGCAACCCTTTGTCTCTTACTCTTGCGAGTATCTACAATGTTGTCCTCCTCAGGATTTTCCTCAGGCGTTTGATCATTGTGTTCTATCGGTGCAAAGTGCTCATGGGGCATGACAGTTTCTTTACTAGAAGTGCTAGGTGTATATTTCATAGGAAATTCATTCTCAAAGAAAGTAGCATCTCTGGACTCAAAAATTGTACCAGCATGCATGTCGGGTACTCCAGAGTTTACTATTAAGAATCTATAACCCACACTGTGGATAGCATAACCAAGAAACACACAATCAACAGTTTTTGGTCCAAGTTTCCGCTTTTTGACTATAGGTACATTTACCTTGGCCAAACAGCCCCATGTTCGTAGGTATGAGAGATTTAATTTCTTCCTTTCCCATTCCTCGAATGGTGTTACTTCCTTGTGCTTCATTGGAATTTTATTCAGGACATGACACGCAGTCAGAACTGCCTCACCCCACCATTCCTTGGAAAGCCCCGCAGTGTCTAACATGGCATTCACCATCTCAGTTAGAGTACGGTTCTTTCTTTCGGCCACCCCATTTGATTGGGGTGAATAGGGAGGCGTCATCTCATGAATAATTCCAAACTCTTCGCAAAAGGATGCAAACTCATTGGAAAAATACTCCCCACCTCTATCAGACCTCAACCGTTTGATTTTCCTTTCAAGTTGGTTTTCTACCTCAGCTTTATAGATTTTAAAGTAATGCAATGCCTCATCCTTTGTTTTCAATAGATACACATAGCAAAATCTAGTGCAATCATCTATCAGTGTCATGAAATATTTCTTTCCCCCTTTAGTCAACACGCCGTTCATTTCGCACAAATCGGAATGAACAAGTTCTAGAGGTGCCAAATTCCTCGCCTCAGATGCCTTGTGAGGCTTACGAGGCTGTTTCGATTGAACACAAGTATGGCACTTGGAACCTTTGACCAAAGTGAATTTTGGAATTAAACTCATGTTAGCTAAGCGCATCATACAACCGAAATTCACATGACAGAGTCGCGAATGCCACACATTAGACTCATCATTCTCGCTAATATGGTTCACAGCGTTATGATTATTACACATGTCATTCAAAGAAAAGCGGAACAAGCCTCCGCTGTCATAACCTTTTCCAACAAAAGTCTCATATTTAGATACGACACATTTATTGGACTCAAACACAAGTCTAAAACCTTCTCTACACAATAGAGAGCCGCTAACTAGATTCTTCTTTATTGAAGGGACATGCTGCACGTTCTTCAGCTGCACGGTCTTTCCCGAAGTAAACTTCAGATCGACCGTACCAACACCATGAACAACTGCAAGCGACCCGTTTCCCATCAACAAGGAGGAACCTCTCCCGACCTGATAAGAAGAAAACAGAGAAATGTCAGCACATACATGAATATTAGCACCAGTATCCACCCACCAATCAGGTGAATGAAAAACAGAGAGAACTGTAGGTAATATTTTACCGTACCCCGATGTTCCTCCGCCCTCGCTAATGATCATGTTGGCAGACTTCCTGTCTTTGCGCTCAGGACAGTCCTTGGCCCAATGCCCAGACTTGCCACACACAAAGCAGTCTCCCTTTGCCTTTCCCTTGCCTTTCTTCTTAAAATTGGTTGCAGCCTTGGGTTTGACATCAGGCTTGACTTTCTTGTTGTTGTGGGATGCATGAGGGTTCTTCTTCTGTACCATATTGGCACTAGAACCTCCCTCAACCTTTTTGCCCCGGACGTCCTTTGCCCTCGCCTTCTCCTCAACACCCAAAGAGCCAATGAGATCAGGAACACTGAACTCTTGTCTCTTGTGCTTTAGAGAAGTGGCAAAGTCCGACCAAGAAGGTGGTAGTTTGGCAATAATGCCACCCGCCACAAACTTGTCCGGCAACTCACAGTTGTTGTTCTCAAGTTCCTTAGCCAGCATCTGAATCTCATGAGCTTGTTCTACTACAGAACGGTCATCAACCATCTTGTAGTCATAGAACTGCTCCATGACATACAGCTCACTGCCGGCGTCAGAAACTCCGAACTTGGCCTCAAGTGCATCCCACATGTCCTTCCCAGAAGGCATGTGCATGTACACGTCCACTATGTTGTCAGCGAGTACACTGATCAATGCTCCACGGAACAGGCAATCCGAAGCCTCGAACTTAGCCTCTTCCTCAGGAGAAAGAGGTGGTTCACTTCGTTTACCCCGTGAAACATAGAAGCACTGCATCGCTGTCAACCACAATAGTGCACGTGCTTTCCATCTCTTATAGTTTGAACCATCAAAAGCATGTGGTTTCAGTGCAGCAGCAAAGCCAACTACCGAAAATGACCTATCAGGTTTTTGGAATGTTGGAAATATAGTCATTATTCGGCATATTTTAATCCAAGAAATTGAAACTATGATCATGGCATAAGCAGTGTAGGGTGATCTTAACATAACCAGTAGCATACTATGCGCATCATGAATGTCAGAAACAGGAACATACCAGTAATGCGATAACATGCTAGAGGCATCATGTAGAACAGAAACAAGAACATAGCGCACACAGTATAGCGCTAACAATGGGAACAGGAGTAGCGCTAACAGCAGTAGAAGGAGAAGATTATACCCCGAGAATGGCCCTCCGCTGGATGGTGAGGCAGAATTGCCTCCGTTGTTGTAGTCGTTCACGGCACCTCCTCCTGGCGCACCAGCTCCGGATCCAGCTCCTGTCGGCGTCGGCGGCGGCGCAGCTCCTGTCGGCGGCGGCGCACCACCTCCGCCAATAGCGGCGGCAGCAACTCCAGACATGGCGATGAGCAGTCGTGCAGGAGGCACTCCCCAAAAACCTGATCACCCGCCTACCCGGTGCAGATATCAGGCGAAGGTGTGGTTTCGGAGGCACTGCTTCTTCCAATCTCTCGTGCGCGCAAGAGATCAGAAGCGGGGAAGCGAGAGCAACTCAGGCGCGGAGAAGGAGAAACTAACACCGGGAAAGAAGCGAGGAACTCGGATCGGACTCGCGGCCTCCTTATCTATCAGGAGAAAGAACGTGGACGCGCTGTTGCGGAGGGAATCGTGGGAACGTGGGTTAGTGGCTGCAAAAGGATAGCGACGTGACGCACGCACGCACGCCGCCAGCCAGCCACGCCTCGCCTCGCCTCGCCCACGGCCCGGCCCGGCGCGCGCGCGCGCGTGTGGCATTCCGACCCCCACCTCAACTGGTCAACAGGGAGCCTCTAATAACTCCCTATTTAGGTTGAGATATTTCTCGCTTAAATCCAGAGGTGGTATTATTATCCTCAACATGTATTATGGGCCTTTGAGATTTAATATTATAAGTTGGGCCTAGCCCAATTATTCTAACAGACCGCTCCTGAATTGCTCCTTCATCTCCGGCCCCGACTGTGTCGACAGTGGCCATACACGAATTGGCCAATATCCAAGCCCTGGTATGCCACCTAAAGCTAGACCCAGAGATAAAAAACAGACGCACCTTGTCCACAAATCGCCCCCTCACAGCAAAAACAGCCTACGACTTAAGCTTCTTAGGGTTATAGGATGACCTTTTCGCTAAGCCCATTTGGGACAACCACGCTCAAGTCAAATGCAAGATCTTCCTTTGTACTACACACAAGAGGCGCATCTTCACCAATGAGAGACAAGCTCGATGTGGATTAGTAGCATCCGCACGTTGTCCTTTTTGCTCCTCTGTTAAAGATGTGGAGCACCTCTTCCTACGCTGCACCGGAGTGGCAACAATATGGCACACCTTTGGCCTGGACGAACAACAGATCGCCTCCCTGCCGCAGCTTGAAGGTGTCTGGGACATCCCTCCACCCAGACAACCCGCCACTCCACGAGTCTGGCGCTCTATCCTCCTTGCCGTCATGTGGAATATTTGGAAACGACACAACAACAAGGTCTTCAATTCTCTTGATGAACCTGCTAAGTTAGTTCTCCGGCGTTGTGCTAGCGACATTGACATTTGGTCCCATCGATGTAAAAATGTTAAGAGCAAACAATAGCTCCGCAAGTGGGCCTTATACCTCTTTGTAATTAATTCTTAATTTAATTCTCCCCCTCTCATCCCCTGTAACCCCTCTCCTGTAAATGTTTCTTCATTTCAATAAAACTTCAGGCTGGTGCCTTAAACACCCACCGTAGTTTCCCTTAAAAAAGTCCATGTTTACAGTTTAAATCTACGGCCCTAGTATACCATCAATCTAATCTAATGGTCGGATCTTTCATGTTAACGTAAAAGCTCGTAGAAAGTACCTAATTAATACGAGTATAGAGGTATAGATAGATTGATCACAGAGGGAGCGCATACTTAACCAAAGTTGCCATACACGTACGGCAAATTCCACCCAAAATCGCTTTCATAGGTGAAATTGGTATTATAATATCGTCGAAATTTCGTAGTAATTTCAGTTTTATTGCATACAAACTCCGCATTTCACTTTATTAGTGGTATATATCCCTATCAGTCATTCTGCTTGCTTACCCGTTTTGGTTGACTTGTGTTGACCTAGCCGAGTGACTCGGTTTTTACTATACTGCCCTTGGCTGCACAACCTTTTATCAGTCGATCCCCACCGCCGGCGGCCATCGTCCCCGGCGTTCATCTCCGTCCGCCGGCGTGCTCCTCGCCCCGCATCAGCTTCGTCCGTCGCGGGCTCGCGGCTCTCCGGCAGCATCAGCCTCACCCCGCCGTCCCTCGTCCCGGCTGCCTTGTCCCTCCTCGCCCATCGCCGACGAGAAGGTATTGCAGTTCTCTCGCATGTTGCTCCCTAGATGGATAATCTTTTTTTGCTTTATTGGGCAGCGAAATGGGCTGTTTGGATTTGTGAGCCGGTCAACGCAAGTCAACCAATTCGGAAAAGGGAACTGAAATCACTGACTTTATGTGCTATATGGAACTGAAATCGTGAAATTTTGATGCTATCGAATCAATTTTATTTTTCTTGTTTTAAACAGGTGACTGACTGTTCCAAAGTCCCCAACAGTTAGCTTGACTATTCTGCTGTTCAGCTCAGACGCCATGGTATTTGCTTTCCCATCGTACACATATATAATGTCAACTTGATCTATTGGGATTCGATTTGAGAAAACGGAATATTATTGTTGACCACCACAATTTGGCACTAGGCCAAATTTGCAACAAATATTTAGGTGAATCTGTATTGGCCCGAAAAGGCACCAACAATTATTTATGCTGACAACCAGATTATATGTTTACGAATTACGGTAACATCTGTGATCCACTGATCTGGGCTGTTCTTCTTTAGTTACACTAACTCCAGCCAGCTAGCCGAGGCCTTTGCTTCCTCACCATATGATTTTTTTTCCTTTGACTTTCTCAAACAATCAACTGAACAGATTTTGACAAAACCAAAGTCAGCCTACCTTGCTTGATGCTAATCAAAACTGATTAAATTTAATAGGATGGACATATTTATGTTAAGAATGACCATGCTTCTTGTAGATCAGTTTTTTTTTCCATTCTTGGCGTGCATCTCCAGGCTTTATTATGTACGAGTATACAACGAATAGAGTTCTGAGCATGCGGGCTTACATATTGGCTTTGTTGCGTTGCAGACTTGCAGTTGACCTCCACTCTGCACATCTGCAAGGGAAGAATGACTAGTGGAATGGAGCCCGTTGATGACTCAGAGTGGGAGGAAGTTAGCTCCATCAACAACTACGCGCTGTTCATGGGACACATGTCTATGGCCGTCAAGGGGCTAGGTTATCTTCTTGTTTTATGGACCACTGTTATCCTTCTTGGTGGCTTCGTCTCCATACTGGGGAAGAAGGATTTTTGGTGTCTCACAATAATTACCCTTGTCCAGACCGCTGGGTTAGTCTCTTTGCACTGCTCAATATCTTAATTTTATATTTTAAGCTCGCATAAAACATTTATTTTGGAGCTATATTTTCTGCTAAGACAGTTCCACTTTCTAAATATTCAGTCACTGGCAAGTAGTTTACATCCCCTGATGAAAGTTCATGTGGGCATATCCATTCAGTCACTGGCATGTAGGACATCAGGAGCTAAAATCTAGAGCTAGCAAATCTCAATAGCTTAACAACTATTCGAGTATTGGACAATTCTCCTTTTTGAGTCGAATTCTAGAGCTAGCAAACCTCAACAATTGAATTCATTGCGAGTTAGAAAGGTCTCACTTTTGGTGTAAGTGCTTTTTGACCTTTTGTCAACTTTATTAGTTTTGGTACAAACTTCAGGCTATGACCAATACAAAAACGGCCACACTAATACCGCGATGAGCATATGCACAATCTGGCCTATTCCAAACACGATTGTATTCTTTATCTTGTAATCTCTCTCAATTGTGAGAAGAGCTTCATTTCCTCAATTAGGAAAACATACCTCTATATATCGTCCTACCTGAGCATGAAATTCCACCATTACTCAGTGCGTCCATGCAGTGCACTGATCTTCAAACTCCACTAGTGCCTCAGTGCCAAGCTCCAAATTCCTCCACCGCTGACAAGGTCGTTTGTGCAACACCAAGTGCCAAACTCCATCGTGGGGTCGACATTATCCTAATACATTGGTGAGAACACTTTAGGATGGATTGCCCATGTAATTTTGAAGCCAAATACATATTTTTAATAATTATTTTTTGAACTTTGAATTATTATTGAACTTTTTAGTATAATGGATCAGGGCTGTTGTGTCGAAGACACACAAAGGCCAGAATGAATAGAAAACTTACATTAATCCATTTCAAACTTCAAAATTATAATGGATCGGTTTTTTTCCCCTGCAAGGATAGAGATTTGAAAGTTTATTTTGTATATGAATACATATGAAAAATGTAAGTATCCGATGGCTGTTGATATGTATTTTCCAAAAAAAAATATTAGTGCTAGATAGGTTCAAAATCTATGTAATATATCCTGATAAGTGTGAAATGCACAGATTTACCACCAGCCTATATAGCTCTTGATTACTTATCTCACCATCTAACTGGAACAATGAAATTTACCCACAGAGTCTCCGACATCTTTCTGAACGAAAAGCTACGATATACTTGGAGGTCGTTTTTAGGCTTTTTCTCAGCTACGGATACATTGGAAACGGAAAGGGGTGCCATTAGCTGGTTCTATGGCCGATCACGGTCACGCTCCTACTACCTGAACAACCTAGTAGTAGTTGTCATATGGCTGCTCCATTTGTTCGTGTTTGCCACCATCATCTGCCCTCTAGCGGTGCTCTACATGTTTGGGCTGATCATCACCACTGCCATATCCGCGTGTCGTCTGATACAGCATGACTACGGGGGTGAGGTCAACAATGGCGGCGCCAACCTGAAATCTGCGCTGAAGTTCGTCTACTCCATCGCCTTGCTCCAGGGTGTGCTCTTCTGTTACCGGTTCACATTGTGCTATGAGCAGAAAAGGCTGGTGGATTTGGTGGTTAACAAATATCGCTTTGTTACTAGTTTGAGCGAGTCAGTGATGGCGTACATGCAAGAGACGATGATCGGGTGTGAGAAGGACCCGTCATTCGTCAAAGGAAGGAACCTGGTCACATATGCCGTCGGTTTAACCAAGTCTGGATCCCCTGATGGCTTCCTCTCTGGGGTGAGGATCCTGGACTCCCTCCTGAATACGCCAATGTACAAGTACAATTTCTTTCTCGAGGTTGAGGTCGAGGTCGAAGAGCAGAAAGCAATGGTAAAGCAGCTCCTCCTATCGGCATCCTACAGCCAAGATGGCGGCCTGCACACACTGCTGCAGTCACTTGATTGTACGAGGGCATACAATGCCGAGGCGAGGGAGCACGCTGCAAGGATCGTGGCGCACCTTGCTGGTGACCTCCACCTGGAGCAGTTTCCACAAGGGATCCATTGCATAGCTTCTCTGCTCGAAGGTCCCCCTAAGGATTGTGATGGCAACATCCCTGTAAATTACCGAGAACTGATGCTGCAGGGCCTGAGTATCCTCATGAAGCTCGCTGCACACGAGGACTGTCAGCGATCCATCAACAAGACGGAGGGCCTGCTAGCCAAGATCATGGCGCCTCTGCGGTCTGGCCTGCTCAACCACAACGATGACCCTAATAGTGCGTGGTTCAGAACAGTGCATGCTTCGATGGTTGTGATTCTCCGGCTTGTGGATGCTCCTGGCCAGACTGGCAAGGAACTCCGCCGCAAAATCTCAGGAGACGTGGAAGCCATGGCTAGTATGGAGAGGATTCTAGGTTGCCAAGGATGTGGGCTCGGATCGTTCCATGATAGTTCCCTGTTTATGCAAGCATTGGACATTTACACACGAATGCACGAGCACACGCTTTCTAACATAGTGACGAGGGAATATTTCATTGAGAAATTGTTACTCATCTTCACTCACAAAGTTTATAAGGAGGCCAACATCATTTTTGGGTTGGCAGTGGTAGGTGAAAAGCTTGCGACGCTATGTTCCCATGGCAAAGCAAATGCCAAGTTAATCTTACAAGTGAAAGATGATGTCGTTGGTGATCTCACAAAAATACTTGTACAAGACAGATATCCCAAGGAATACAGAATAAGCGCCGCGCAAATCCTCGAGCAGCTGTGTGTTCATCACACTGATGATGATGAATATATCCAGAGCCTCAAGGAAGCCTTAAAGGTTAAGAGTCCAGAGGTATAGTCTGTTTGAGGCAAGAAAAGAAACACTTGCTTTATTTTTATCAGCATCATATATAGGGTGATAATTAGTCTTTGTGTTGGATCGTTACGCTTGTCATACTGAAGATAAACATAATGTTGCAGGTGCTTGTGAGAACACTTCGTGCCGAATCTGTGGACAGACAAATGCTGGCGGCAGTTTTATCTCTGATTGTGACGATGACACGAAACTTAATGGATGCTGAAGATTTGCCTCCTCTTATCGATGCAATTAACAGGGCAGCCAACGGCTTCAGCATCTTAACGGAGCTCCAATCGATGGTCACAAAGCTGTCAATGAAGAGTAAGGTGACTATAGTGAACAGATTGAACACATTGAAGCTTATCACTGAGATATTCATACTAATCGTTAGACATGGAAGCCGTTACACCGTAGAAGAAGCAGAGAACTTGATTAAATCACTGTCGAAGGCTGCGAGGAACATGTCGGAAATCGAGGACATCATGGTTATCTCTGGCTGTAGCAGCAGCCTAAAGACTCTTGGTTCCCTCGTGAAAGAAGCTGAGGAACTCCTGCCTAGAGCAAGGGCATCCGAAATGGAAGTGATAATTGAGCATCCTAGCTGTGTCAATCGAAATCAGATTAATTAAATCGTACATAATCTGTATTATTTTAATCCATACCCTCATTGGAAAACTGTGTGCCGGGGAAATCTGATAATCGATCTGAAAACCGAAATTAAAAATTACTCGTGCCGGTCAGTAATAAAATCAAAGTGAAAATCGGCCTTTAATCATCTGAGGCCAATGTATAGTATTTTTTTTCTTACACTTTTGTACATTCCATTTTGCTGTTCTTCTCTTCTTTTTTTCTACTCTTTCCCAATCATGTAACAATGTAACTTATCATTTCTATCAATGAAATGGCTATAAGGTAGAGCTGGCTCTACGTTCTTATGTTTACTCGTGCATTTGTAGAACATCTTTTTTTTTTGGGTTCCTCTCTCTGGCAAGCTGAGTGTTACATGCCCTGCATTCACGGTGTTGATGTTAAGCCTCTTAATGCTACATGGAAAATGATGTTGTTTCTGTTCTCTTATTATTTAGATTTCTTACCGCGAAAAAAATGTAATCTCTGCAGGAAGGAGAAGTCCAAATATCCTCTGAACTTTACCCAAGAGTCCATCTAGGACTCTAAACAGAGAAAACAACATTCAGAGGGAAAGATGGAATGAGGAAAGCTTTACCGAAGAAATGACTCTAAGTCTACTATTCCCATTCATCTTATTCAGTCAGTGGTACAATAGGCAAGATGACGTGGAAAGTGCGTCCAGTCAGCACACCGCACAGCCAAAATCGCCTAGACAGCCAGCCTAACAAGGGGGGCTAGCAAGTTCAGGCGCTAAACCTTTTGGATTAGGAGATGGATTCTCGGGCAACTATTTGGACTTTCCTAATATATGAAACCACATATATATAGTATTTGTGTGAAAATCGTTAGTTTTTTGTGCTTGCGTCCTATGCATTGGTCATTGAATGCAAAATATTCAGCAATAATAATGTTCTTTCTTGACCAACTAGAGGTTAACTTTCTTTGTTCAAAAAATTATGAACTTATAATATAATTGTATCGTATTTTATTTTTGGTAGAACTGTATGCAGCTTGACTGTAGGCCTGCCAATGAGGTTAAAACCCGCCCTGTTCCCAATCCAAACCACAACAGCCAGCTAAAGTAGTCCAGACCAACCCAACAATCCAGAAGTCTTCTTTTAGAATCTAAACCAAACCATTTCCCATCTATGGGTTCAATCCACCCTTCCAATTTCCAAACCATTTGGGGCCATTACAATCGACCACAACCACACTAACCCATACAGTCCATTCACCATCAACAAGTACTTGCAGCGGCCATGGAGAGAGTAGATAGCAGGATGACATTAGCTGGCTGCACTAGTACATCAACGGCGACGGCCTGTGATCTTAACCTCCCCAAACAGAACCAGTCTCATCTTGTGATCCATTTCTTAGCTGCCAGCAGCCCAGCCAGTGATTGAAATTTTGAAACAAAATTTCGGACCCCCCGGTAAGTCAATATCTCGGCTGAAATTTTTGTGAATTTGATCAAAATTTAGTCAAGTTCAGTTAAACTGTGTCAAAAATTTCGGTCCAAAAAATGCTGAAATTTCCGAAATTTCGGTACTACCGAAATGACTGAGCCCAGCAGCAAGAAGCGGTGTCGATTTCCTGTGCGCGTCACTGCCTGTCCCTGCCACCGCCTCGTTCCGGTGCGTCGCCGGCGGCGATGGCCTCAACGAGATAACCGATCGATCGCTTGATCAGTGCTTTTTCGTAATAAAACGGAATAGTGGGAAGTTCAGAAAGTTTTGTTGTCCCGATATTCGTGAAAGTGGAGCGACTCCCGCGCCGCTCTCCATGGGCGACGACACTGGAGGCGAACAGCCCCGAGCGAATGCTCCCCAGCCACGTCCGCTCGCGTCGCTGCCACCGGCGACGGCGGTGCGGCGGTGGTGGCGCCTCCCACCCCTTTTCCCCTTTCCTCCTTCCCTCTCCCTTTCCTTTCCTCGTTTTCTTCTGTTCCACCTTGACTCGCCACCGTCGGCGTGACCGCCAGCGATGGCACCTCCTTCCCTGTCCCCATCCTTTCTCCCACCCTCTTCCTTCCCCCTCCATTTCCTTCCCTTTCCCTTTCTCTTTTTCTGCAGATCCAAATTCAGGCGATATGCATGGTGGGTCTCCGTGAGGGGACTAGCTATAGGCAGCTGGTACTTGACCGGTGGTGCCGCAGCGCAGGTTTAGAATCGGAATACAACTCGATGTAGTTTTAGGGTGTGTTTGGTTTCTAAGATTGGATGGGATATGGCGGTCCAGTTTTTTGTTTGGTTATGTGAATATGGCGATCCAGTTTTTTATTTGGTTGTAGGGACGAAGGTGGAGTTGGTGATCTAATTTTTTTGTTTGGTTGGAGGAAGTATGGTGGATTTGTAGGTGTGGTCACCTCTCACTTGAGATGGTGAATATACCCGTTGACGAAAAAATTGAACACACCGGCCTGAGAGATCTGCTTAAATCCTGTGCAGGTCTAAAGATTGTTGAGATGCGGGCGTGCTAGTCAGTTTGATCCTGCAACTGACAAGATATGTAAACAGTAGATCAAATAGCCGATCGGCTGACAAGCCAATGTAGTGATTCCAGCCGATGCCGATACTAGCCGATAGCGATAGGGTTTGAGCAATCGGCTATGTGTCCAATGTAGATAATGATGCAAAGACAATCAGCTGATGATATTAAAATATAACAATAATATAATCCAGTAGAAACCAATCGGCTAACAATGACATGATAGAATAAGCACTGATCCGATGGTTAAAGCATACATCGACTGGAGGTCCAATGTCATAAAATCCACAAGATTAGATTAAACAGTGAAACCTTTGTTGTCATCGGCTAAATCCAACTTATATGTATATGCAATCCTTATGAGCCGATGCAACGTCTAGATAACTCACCGGCTGAAACCCCGATGAAACCCTTATTGGCAATCAAGAAGCAGGATAGAGATTATGGTTCTAAGCACGACTTAGTAGATCAAACTTAACTGATACAGCATTAAGTATGAAAAGATACACAATCTAGACAATCAAACCGTTGAATGAGTTTTCAGGGTGGTAGATGTCTAAGCTAATCTAATCTAGCAACGCGATTTAGCTGATACCGGCAGAAACCCTAAAACAAGAAGCAGCCGATAGAGCTAAATTGATATGCTAAGACTAGATTAACAGAGACATATGATAAATAGGTAGGCAAGTATATCATCCAAACCAGAGCAATCTAAGAGGTCGAATGTCCTGATGCAGCCTTGAACGACGCCGACGTAGACGATATAATTGCCTGGGCCGACGGAACATTGGACTTACCCCTTAGCCGGAGATCGAACACCGATGCAGCCCCGCGTCGGGTGCCAAGTTCCGCCAGAACGTAGAAACAAAAGTAAAAGTAAAAAGGGTGGCGATGCGCCGAATTGTATTGATCGTGAGGATAGATTACAATGACCCCGCGTGTACATATTTATACCCATGGGTAGATACTAATCCTTGTAGGACAAGAAAGAAACTTTCCTAAAGATAAAAGGAAAACATAAAGTCCTTATAGGACACTAAACACACTTTCCTAAAGATAAAAAGGAAACTACCAAACTATTCCTAATTAATAGACAACTTGCCATGCCGCATTCTCTTTGAACTCGGTCTCTTCTGGATAAGCTTTCTTTACTAGATCAATTTCCTTAGCAAGAATCCGACAACTGGCGGCTTGATAATTCTCATCGGCCGATTCCAGGACTCTGAAGCCGATACTGACTTTAGGCCGATGATAACTTTGGGCTTACCAAATTTCGTTGTTAACAATACCCCCATCAAATTAATACATAATACAATTTTACTCCACTACCTCTATTATAAATACACATAGAAAAAAGAAAAAAAGAAAAAGAAAAAAGAAAAAAAAATAGGGCCAGATCTGGGCTCGCCGCCGCCACTTCCTCCCGTCGGCCGCCTACTCCCGCCGGCAGCCACCTCCCGCCGGCCGCCTTCCTCCCGCCGGACGCCTTCCTCCCGCTGGCCGCCTCCTCCCGCCGTCGCCTTCCTCTCTTGTGACCCGCGCTGGCTACCGAGCTCGCCTCCTCTCTCGCCAGCCGCCGCGCTCGTCACCCACGGCTGCCATGCTCGTCGCTCGCGCCGGCCGCCCTATCCGCCGCCTCGCTCGTGTCGTCGTGGTAAGGGGTGACGCGAGTCACGCGACTCACTCGCCCGACTCGCCCGAGCCTCGAGTGGTTGCATCCGGCCAAATCGGCCAGATCCCTCTATCCAGCATCTGGGGGGGTATATTCCCCTCTGGGCCGCCCTATCCCACTTTCGTCCAGCAAACAAACACCCTCCAAAGAGCGGCGGCCATGTCCTATCCAGGTATATCCCACCAACCAAACACACCCTTAGATAATATACTTAATTTTCAGGATGTTACAAATGAAGAGGATACAACTCGAGCAAGAGAAGGGAAGGGGTGAGCAGTAATGTGCATATGTGAGGGGAGATGGAGGTTGGGATATTTTGTTTTTCAAATCTTTGTATAAACAATACTCTCTCCATCTACTTTTGATAGGCATATTTCTAAATCTGAAAAATTTATTTTTGACTAGCAATAGTGCCCGTGCATTGCAACGGAAAAAACACCGTTTGATAGTGTGACACCTTGAGAATCTCAAATCAGTAAAAATCAAGTCTAATTTGATATATTACCAAATCGGTAGAATCGAGTCTAATTTGATGAATTAGCATCGGATTTAGGCTTTAGTCTTAGATTTATTTTTCGAGGCTACTTAGGAGTTTATCTAACTTTAATTTAAAAATCTGAGCCACATTGATTGATCAAATTTGCTTTCGGCCCAGGTCATCCCAAGCCGGCCCAAACTTGGGCTGGCCCATCTTCACGCGAGCTGAGTCCATTCGATGGCCCACAAGCCGAGCACATGAGCGCGGCCCACATACGCGGCGACGATGCACTTCCGTGGCCCATTGCGCAGCGTAATCAGCGGTGGTAGCGGCCCGATGTTGGACGAATCTGAGCCGTCCGATCTATTGGATGGCTCCGATCGTCCCCGCGTCGGATGAAGCACCGACCGGGAGAGAGGGGCAAAACCCTAGCTCCCAAATCCCTCTCTCCCGATCCCCTTTCTCTCTGGCGACGAGCGAGCGGTACAACGGCGAAGGCGGCACGCGTGCGGTGACGACCGCCAAGCGGCTCCTGCTTTGGCGGATGGGGGACGGACCCGAGGGTGGCGGAAAGCCATGCCACGACGTCAGCGGTCCGACCAGGCGGGCGCGCAAACGGCGACAAGCGCCGAGTGGCCTGGACCTCGTCGGTGGGAGGGGCGATGCCAAGCCGA